AAGGAGGAACCCAGACCCAGACCAGTGGTCATTCCATATGTTGAGGGAGTATCAGAGAAACTGAGACGTTTATTTTCTAAACATAACGTCCCAGTGGCTTTTAAACCCCAAAATACATTACGGCAAAGACTGGTTCATCCCAAAGATCCAGTCCCCCAGCACAAACAGAGTAATGTTGTGTATGCTGTTCAGTGTCAGGAAGGCTGTGATCAGTCTTACATCGGGGAAACAAAACAGCCACTGGACAAAAGGATGGCCCAGCACAGAAGATCAACATCATCAGGCCAGGACTCTGCGGTCTACACTCATCTCCAGGCCAGCGGTCACTCTTTCAGGGATGAAGATGTGCACATCCTGGATAGAGAGGAACGATGGTTTGAGAGAGGAGTAAAGGAGGCCATCTTTGTGAAAAGAAATCGTCCATCATTAAACAGGGGTGGAGGCCTCCGGGTTCAACTGTCCCCCTCTTACAATGCTGTGATTGCTAGTATCACTCAGCCCTCTGGGAATAGTAAACAGCAATCAGTGTGCTAATGATCCATTGTTAGGCTGATGGTCCTTCTTGAGCATGTGATCAGCTGGTTTTGGTTGTCAGCAGCAAAACTGGTTGATCCACTCTGAGAAGGTGCTATTTAAGAGACTGAGCTGAATACAGCACCTCACACTGAGGAAGTCTCTTGGATGAGAGACGAAACGTTTCTACATTTTTTTGTTGTTTTGCTTTGTTTTGTTTTTTTGAATGTCCAGAGGACCAGATTTAACTTTTTTAGATACCTCGAGAATGTTTATGGATCTCACCGGAGGACATTGACTGATTGCAGTGACCTCGAGAGCATCTGTAAGCGTTGTTGACCGCTCTCGTCTCTTCCTTCTTCCTGCTCTTCTCTATTGCAGAATGTCTACGTAAATATGTGCTTGTTTGTGCGAGGTGTTTTTTTCCAATATTAGGGGTTTTTCTCAGCCAAGAAAAAAGTCTGATAGGAATTTTTTTCGCCTCCAACTCCTACATGTGTCCAGTTAACCACTGTTTTTGTCTGTCCAAACAGGTCTCACTTGTAAATGAGTCTACGAGGCTCAATGTGATTTATCTGTTTAAATAAAGGTTGAATGAAAAAAAAAGTAATCGATGGAGGGGAGGAAAGTCACAGTTAGAAGACGTTTCCTAGCATACAGAGTTTGACAGGAACTGTTTCTGAAAAAGAAACCCAGTTTAACTTTCAGTTTCTTTACCAAGTTTTCCACATGGAGCTTAAAAGAGAGATGCGAGTCGACCAAGATACCCAAATATTTATAGGAACCAACAAACTCAATGGGGACACCATTTGAGGATAAAATTGGAGGAAGAACTGCTGGGACCGACTTCCTGTTTGAAAAAAAAACATCCCTTTGGTTTTATCGGCATTTAAGACGAGTTTGAGGCGGAACAAATCAGACTGGATGATGTTAAATGCGGATTGCAAAAGTTGGAAAGCCTTATCAACTGTTTTAGCTCGACAATAAACAACTGTGTCATCAGCATAGAAATGTAAGGATGCATCAGGGATGCTCTGACCTACATTACCTATGTAGATTGTAAAGAGGGTGGAACCTAAGACTGAGCCTTGTAGTACACCACTGTTGACCGTTAAATTACTGGAGGAAGTACCATTATGTTGAACACATTGCCTCCGATCTGAGAGGTAGTTAGAGAACCAACCAATGGTATGATCTGAGAAACAAATTTCTGAGAGCTTATGACACAATATGTTATGATCCACAGTGTCAAAAGCTTTAGACAGGTCTAAGAAAAGTGCAGCACAATAATCCTCAGCATCCAGTGCTTCAACAACGTCATTAAGATCCTTCAATGAAGCAGTCGTTGTGCTGTGTTGTTTCCTGTTCTTTTACATTTTATTGTTGAATGTAACTGGAACCCTGTGTACACAATTTTGTTCCACCACATGTACCACATGTGGTGCGAATGACAATAAAGAATCTCTGAATCTGAATCTCTGAAATCTGCCTCATGATGCTATATCAGGTCTCTCTTGTTAATCAGGTCTCTTTTGTAAATGAGTCCTCGAGGCTCAATGGGATTTACCTGTATAAATAAAGGTTGATTGATATCTATGTTTTGGATGTTTATTTGGCTTTTAGCTACTGTTCTGCTACTTTTAGCCTGAATTTTGCCATTTGTAGCTACAGTTTTACTAAATTTAACTACTGTTCTCCTTTCAGCTACAATTATATTGTTTTGTGCTACTTTAAGCAATTGTTTTGCTATTTTGAAATTTTGTTCTTGTTTTAAATTTAACAAATCAGTTTTAGCTTCTTCAGCATCTTTCAGAAGACATTCAGCACTCACGGTTCACAAAATGCAAAAAATACATTTCTTCTAAGTATCCTAAACATCATTCGGATTTCTTTCATTAGAAAACAGATGAAAATAGAACAAGTGCAAAAATTATGACAGCTAAAAATTGGCTGAAGTTTCTGGGTTTGCCTTGTGCATAACGTCCATCCAACCATACATTAATTAGCTTTACTCGCTTTTTCCTTTGCTGATAGGGTGCTGGTGCCTAGCTCTAGCACTGGTCATAGTATGAGAGGTGAGGTACATCCTATACAGGTCACAAGTCCATCACACGGCTTTGTATAATGTGAATAACCTAATAATATTAAATAGTACAAGAACCAAATCTGTGGCTCACCTGTTATCACGCTTGTCACAATGAGAGGAATTGTAACCATCTGAAGCATCTGCATGAGTAACTCCCCAGGAAAGCCAATGTATACTTGTTGGGTTTTAGTCAGGGATGCAAAAAACTTGAGAATAAAGCCGAGGACAATACCTGTAAAAAGACAAAAAATAAATAAATATACACCAAAAAAAAAAAACACTGGAAGTGTAAATATTTCTATGCAATCCACTTAAAGATGGCTGCCACATCTAATGACCATTAGCAAACAGAAATTACACAAAACTCAGCCAATTTTACAAATATTGAGCTAAAATTTAATGTAGTAGTAGCTGAGCTATCCTCATAACATACTCTGAAAAAAAAAAAAAAAAAAATCAATGATCCCTAGGATTTTCTCCTAGAGAGCATATCTCTCCAGTTTTAGCTTCTCCCCACTGGCTCCCTGTCAAATTCAGAATAGAATCCAAAATCTTACTTTTAACCTACAAAGCCGCTCAACAACCAAACTCCGTCTTATATTACAGATCTTACTGTCCCATATTTTCCTAATAGAGCAATTGACTCTCAGACAGCATGTTTGCTTGTGGTTCCTAGAGTTTCCAAAAACAGAATGGAAGGAAGATCTTTCAGTTATCAGGCACCTCTCGTGGAACCAACTTCCAGTTTCTGTCCATGAGGCTGACACATTGTCCAGTTTTAAGACTGGGCTTAAGTCTTTCCTTTTTGATAAATCCTATAGTTAGCAGTGTTTCCCCTACCATTATACAAGCGGGGCGCCCCGCCCCGTCAACAGACCTGAGCGCCCCATCTACCGAACCCCACCCCCAACCACCTGTCGGCACTGATGTAACGCTAATCTAGCGGCTTGCAGGTGCACTAGCTAAAAAGCTAAATGCAGCCTCCAACATTTTTCAGTCAGGTCAGCTGGACAGTTTCTTTTTTTTTGTGCTGAAACGTTTCACCTTCGATCCGGAAGGCTTCATCAGTCAAGGAAACACAACACAAAACTGATTCTTCCCCCAACAGCTTACTCCAAATTGGAACAAACCAGTTATGTTGGTGCTAAGATGGTCTCTTTGTCACGCCCCCTCCTCCATTGCCGGCCCTCTTCCTTGTTGACAGTCGTGTCAAATTGGTTGAAAACAACAAAGTTCATGCTCAGTAATCCAGGTATACAATCCAACATTTTTCAGTGAAGTCATCTGGACAATTTACTTTTTTTAGTGCTGAAACATTTCGCCTTCGATCCAGAAGGCTTCATCAGTGAAGAAAACACAACAAAACTGATTCTTCCCCCAACAGCTTACTCCAAAGTGGAACAAACCAGTTCTGCTTGTGATAAGATGGTCTCTTTGGTACGCCCCCTCCTCCATTGCCGGCCCTCTTCCTTGTTGACAGTCATGTCAAACTGGTTGAAAACAACAAAGTCCATGCTCAATAATCCAGGTATACAATCCAACATTTTTCAGTCAGTTGATCTGGACAGCCTGGTTCTACTGGAGGTTTCTTTTTGTTAAAAGGGAATTTTTCCTTTCTACTCTTACCATTGTGCTTGCTCAGGATGGGAGACTGTGACAAAGTGAAGATTCAATGTGTCTGCTAACTTCCTTAGATAGATAACTTTATTAATAAGCTTTTTATGTATGTGAATGTTTTTGTGCAGTGCCCTGAGACAACTTCTGTTGTGATTTGGCGTTTTATAAATAAACTGAATTGAACTGAATTGTGTTTCTACTTAAAAGATTGGCAGTGAAAATGCTACTTTATAGGCCATTTAACACACTGCAAATGGCTACACAAGCAGAAATCTTCTAAATGTCATCCATTTGAATGAAACAGTCATTTGAAGGCAGAAGTCTGTCAGTTGGGAAAAAAAAGTCAATTTTAAAGTTGCTTTTTAAAATGGAAAGGACTGACTTATTTTGAAAATCACTCTTATGAATATAACAAATTCATATGAAGGCAAAACACCCTTTGAGTGTCAGCCTTCAGGGGTTTTATCACTTTAATCAAATTGAGACTAGTAAACATTCACATTATGAGGGCATTTAAGTTGAAATTTCAATTGATGTTTTTTTCTTGACACTAAAAGTGCTTGAAGATTAAAAACTGCTTGATTGGTAACAATACAAGAAAACTAGACAAACAAAATAAGCAGAGTCAATGCAAAAAATGCTATTTATTTTCAATATTTGATAATTTATTGAATTAACTTTATTTCAGTACAATTATGTATGTATGTTTCCAAATAAAAGCAAGTTTAGCACATTCAAATAGTCAAACTCTCGTTTATTTGCCCCTTGATTGTTATAATCCTGCGTGGAGCAAACACCCCGAGGCTCTTTACGTTGTAGCCGGAGACTTTAACCACGTGAATCTAAAGGACTGTCTCCCAAGCTTTTATCAACATGTGGCGATTCCAACACGTGGAGACCAAACGCTGGACCGTGTTTACACGAACGTAAAAGATGCATACAAAGCCAAACCCCGCCCCCACCTAGGACTGTCAGACCACATCTCAATCTTCCTGGCTCCTGCTTACATGCCCCCGCTGAGACGCTCCAGACCGGTACAAAAGAAAGTTAAATGCTGGATCCAGGACAGTGGCCCCATACTGAGAGATTGTTTTGATCGAATAGACTGGCAGGTTTTCAGAGAAGCTGCTGAAAATGGAGGTTCGCTTGATCTTGACCAATACACATCCTCAGTTCTGGGTGACGTTAGTACATGTACTGACACCGTCTCCACTATCAGAAATGTTAAAAGCTACCCAAACAGAAAACCTTGGCTGAATGCAGAGGTGCGTACCCTGCTGGAAGCCAGGAACACTGCCTTCAGGTCTGGAAACTCAGAGGAGCTGAGTAGGACAAGAAAAGAGCTGGTTGCTGGTATTAAGAAGGTCAAGGCCACATATGCAAAGAGGATCGAGGGTCAATTCATCTCACAAGACCCTCGGAGCATGTGGAGGGGCATTAAGTGCATAACAGATTATAAAGGAAGGAGCGAACAATGCCCCAAAGACCCATCTCTGCCTGATGCCCTCAACAAGTTCTATGCACGCTTTGAAGACCCGAACAGACCACCCACCACCAGACTCACCTCACCACCGGATGAAGAGCATCTCCGCGTGACCTAAGCAGAAGTAAGGAGTACCTTCAGGAGGATTAATCCGCACAAAGCAACTGGCCCAGACAACATCCCCAGAAAAGTGTTGAAGGAATGTGCTGATCAGCTCTGCGAGGTGCTGGCAGACATCTTTAACACCTCACTTACCCTGGAAACAGTTCCCACCTGCCTGAAGACTGCCACCATCATCCCAGTCCCAAAAAGCTCTACAGTGACTGGTCTGAATGACTATCGGCCAGTGGCCCTCACCCCGATAGTCGCTAAATGCTTTGAAAAACTGGTCATGACTCGCATCAAAACAACCATCAACATCAACGAGGACCCTCATCAGTACGCATACTGTGAGAACCGATCAACAGAGGATGCCATCTCCTCTGTGGTCCACACTGCGCTCAACCACCTGGAGCAGAAAAACTCTTACGTCCGTATGCTCTTTGTGGACTTCACATCCGCCTTCAACACCATGATCCCCCAAACCCTGATGGACAAACTACCCACAATAGGACTAAGCCCCTCCATTTGCAACTGGGTACTAGACTTTTTAACAAACAGACCACAGTTAGTGAGGATACACAACTTCTCCTCCTCCACCATAGCCCTCAGCACTGGCTCTCCTCAGGGATGTGTGTTGAGCCCCCTCCTGTTTACTCTGCTCACGTATGATTGTGCAGCTACCCATCCAGGCTGTCACATTGTAAAGTTTGCAGATGATACAGCGGTGGTGGGATGCATCACAAACAATGATGAGTCCAGCTACAGGCAAGAGGTGGAACACCTGGAGAGCTGGTGCAAAGAGAATAACCTTCACATCAATGTGAAGAAGACAAAGGAGATGATTGTGGACTTCAGAAGGAACAAAAACATCTACACCCCCATGAACATAAGAGGATCTGCGGTGGAAGTGGTCTCCAGCTACAAGTACTTGGGTGTACACATGAATGACAACCTCAGCTGGAGCAACAACACCACCAGCCTGGTCAAGAAAGCTCATCAGAGACTCTACTTCCTCAGACGGCTGAGGCGAGCTGGTCTGGGAAGCTCAGTCCTCACCTCCTTCTACAGGTGTGCAGTGGAGAGCATCCTGTGCTCCAGCATCAACGTGTGGCATGGAGGCAGCACAGCTGCAGAAAGAAAAGCTTTGCAGAGAGTGGTGAAGGCTGCGCAGAAGTTGTCGTTATCAGCCTCCCCACCATCACCGACATCTACACCTCTAGATGTAGGAAGAGGGTCACCTGCATCATGAAGGACCCCACTCACCCAGCACACACACTTTTTGCCCTGCTCCCCTCAGGAAAGAGGTTAAGGAGCATTAAGTGTAGAACCACTAGACTGAGGAACAGCTTCTACCCTGAGGCTGTTAGACTCATGAATCTCTAACTAGAATAATCACTGTGAAAAACCATATCATGTTGCTGCTGATCTGTTTCATGTTGCTGCTGATCTGTTTCATTGTTGATGTGTTCATGCGTGCACATCCGCTCACAGACTCATGTTCATGTTTGTGCTGATGTTCAATGTTTTATGTTATGAGTGCTTAGTGTATATTTAGTTGATGTTTTTCTTAGTTCATATCTTAGATGTTATTACTGTTTTTCTTATACATTTTATTGTTGGATGTAACTGGGACCCTGTGTACATAATTTCGCTCCACCACATGTACCACATGAGGTGCGAATGACAATAAAGAATCTCTGACTCTGACTCTGACTGACTCTGGAGGGTTGTTATTTGCAGATAAAGAAATTATGTTAATTATTATTATGATAAAGAAATAGAAACACTTGGAACTGACACTCTCACAGAGAGAAAACAGTGAGTTTTTGAGGAGAACAAAAAAAAGTTAAACTTCAAAAGTTACACAAATAAACGTCTTTTTGTCAAGTTTTTACTCCCTCTCCTGTCCTGGCTGTTAGTTTTTGTTTTCCCCTGAGTCCTCGAGGCTCAATGGGATTTACCTGTATAAATAAAGGTTGATTGAAGCTCTTTCAGCTCCTGTCATTCTCTGCTTCTCATCTCACTCTGCAGTCAAGCTCATGCGCTCCACCTGTCCCACTCACTACTTAAGCTCAATGCATTCACCCAGTCAGTGCCAGATTCTCAAACCTTTCTTAGTAGTAGAAGTCCAGCATTCTGTATCCTGCTTCCTGCCTTGCCACAAACCTCTGCCCGTACTGTGACTCCTCTATTTGTCTGCCCTTTTTTGGATTTTGTCTGCTTCTCTGCCTATTGGTTCTGACCCTGTGCCCCCGCAACGACAACAACTTTGGATCACGGATTTGGCTAAGTTTTCTGCCCTCTGCTGCCCTATGTATGACCATTGCCACAACTCATGGATCTTGGACCTGGATCGTCCCCGTCTTCTGGACCTCCACAGACTTCAGTCTGCTCCACTGCAGCTGTCACTCCTTGGGGGTGACCGTAATCGTCTCCAGCGTGACAATAGCACCTGTTACACTACCAAGACAGAAGGTTAGTGAAAAGAATCCAATACCTCTGTATTTTTTCTTCCAAGCAAAGTTCACTAACACTTCTGTCTTGACAGACTGGACCCGGCCCAGGACCCAGACCTCCACCAGAGCAGTTTTTAAAGACAATAAACTCTTTGAACCACTCTTGGTCTTGGTGGTGTTGTGCAGATCCCACTGGTCCTTGTCAGTAGAATCTGGCCAAGATGGATCTAGCACCAACCCAGGAGTGGTGCTCTGGTGTTGAGGGGGCCATTATTAAACTTGAGTCTAATGTGTAGGACATGATGGTCATGTTTAAAGCTATGCAAGTCCCCTCTCAGGACTCTGTCCACATGCCAGCCGCTCAGGTAACAATTTCTCAGGTTTCTGCATCTTATAATGAACCACATTTATTGTCCCCAGAAGGGGAGTGGTGGCGCAGAGGTTAGAGAAGGTGGGCCTGTGATCGGATCGCCGGTTCAAGCCCCAGTACTGACAACATCAAAAATGTGTGTGGTGTTGGAGCCCATTAAGTATTGAATTAATTAATTATTTGCTAAATGATGAATATTGATTTAAAACTACGTTAAATATTACAGATTGCAGAAGAACTATTATGTTTCTTCTTATTTACTTGTTTATGGCTCCCCCTAGTGGGATCAGCGGAGGCAGTGATTAAAACAGGGAATTCAGCTGCTGCGGGCGGATTGTTGTTTTTTGCAGTGAAGGAGAGAGGCGTGAAACAGTTTTCTTTACCACACACAAATTGCTAAAATTTTGAGATTTGTAAGAAGTCAACTCGGAGAATATTTTTGTTAAATTCAACAAGGAAATTAAATGCTGAACTTTTGAAACAAGAAATCTCTCCGCGAGTGCTTATATATTTTGTTGTGCGTCGAGAACCTCCTCCACAAGGATATTCTGGCTCAAACTTTTTGGAGCTTATGATGAAGCAAGAATAGCCATCACTGGTGGGGTAGGTGAAGCACCCACACCTCCCCCCACCCTCATTCGTCCCACTCTGGGCCCTTGAGCAAGGCCCTTAACCCCCACCATCTTGCTCCTCCGGGTGTCTCTGCTCCACACAGAGGGCTGTGGTAGCTCGGTGGTTTGTGGTTGCATCAGGAAGGGCATCCGGCGTAAAAATAACTGCTAAGTCTTCGTGTGACTTAGTTCGCTGTGGTGACCCCTAACACAGGGAGCAGCCGAAAGAAAAGAAAAAAGTATCGCCCCCAGAACTGTTCATAGGAGAACCAGATCAATGCCATCCTTTCCTCACACAGTGTGAAATTCATTTTCAACTGCAACCTTCTTGTTTCCCCTCAGAGCGATCCCGGGTGGCGTACGTACTATCACTGCTCTCAGGTAAAGCCAAATCATGGGGCACTTCACAGTGGCAGAGGGACGCCTGGTCTGGTTATAGTTTTGCTGATTTTTCCAAAGAGTTATGCAGTGTTTGACCCTGTTTTGCCTGAGAGAGAAGCCGCCTGTAAATTGTTTTCAGTAAAGCAAGGAGATAAACGACATCATTGAGTTTCATTCCATCGCGACTGAGAGTCGCTGGAACGAGGAAGCTCTAACCGATGCCTTTTTTCAAGGTCTTAATGACAACACAAAAGATGAACTGGCAACCAAAGATTACCCCGAATCCCTCCAGAGATTGGAAGACCTGGCAACCCGAGTGGATTTACTAAAATGCAGTAAATACATTTAGCCAATCAGTGTCTGTCCTCTACAAACGCCTATTCTCCAGAAACGCCCACTTTAGGTCTGCAGAGCCTCTTCTCTGTGAGCCGGAGCACCTTCATGGAACATCACTTTTTGGCAAAACACCTGACAGTTTCTTAAATATTTTATTTAACACTGTACGTTGAAACAACTTATCCCCAGATTGAACCTCTCATAATCCAGTTTCACGCTTTCGTTTTACACCTAAAATGACACTTATTTGAACAGTTAGCTAGTTTAACAGCGCGGTTCCTTCACTTTGTTTTTTATTTATGATATACTATTTCTACTAACAAATATCACATCATTTACATTTTCTCGAATAAAATCATCACCATTTTACAATCACTTTACCAACACAGAGTGCAGTTAAAACCGTTGGTCGGTCGTTTTGTCATCTCACATTTTAAGTAAAAAACAAAAACACAAGTTTGACTTGTTGAAAAGTTATTTCCTTACCCAGGAGGACACCCAGCAAACTCAGAGATTGAAACCTATTCCGCACGACACAAGCCCAGCAATCATTGCCCACATTTCTCCAGTGTCTGGGGCCAGAAGTGGCCCCGTCGTTGTTCTCCGTCATGTCTGCGCTGATGGCGGATCGATACTGACACAGCGGCACAATGCTCTGGAATCGATTCTCAAATTACATAATGGATACATTTCAGGTCATTTCAGGTAATGTACAGTATATCATTAACAGGAACATAGAGCTCTTGTCTAAATTATAAGCTGTTGGTGGGAACTACTTTTTCTTCCGCCTGGATAAGTGCGTAATGCGTGAAGAGGAGCCGCACGCTTCTCAGTGTCAGTGCGTGTGACACAAGGTGCGCGATAAACTGAGTCACTGGAGCTGAAAGTAAACTGGTCTAGTCATACTGGCCAGAACTGAAGGTATTTCTCATAGTCTAGTTCCCAAAAATTGATCAAATACATATTGACTTTCTTTGAAAAAATATTAAAAGCTTCATCTTATTAGAAAAAACATGTTATGATCAGTAAACTCAGTTCAGGTGGTTTCAGTGTTTTGGACTTTAATACCCTGCACTCTATTCAAAGTTAAATGGATCCAGAGATATTTGAAAAATCCAAATTGCTGGACATTGGTTTATAAACACAACTTTTCCCCGCATAAATGTCTTATTTGGAACAACGAAGATGTTTGCTTCAAGTGCAAATCATTCTTTTTTAAGAACTGGGTGGATAAACAGTTGTTTAACAAGGATGGACAGATGTTTAGTTATGGTGAAATTCATTCTGAATGTAACATCCCTGTGACCCCTAAAGACTTTGCAATTGTTTTTGATGCCGTCCCAGCAGGTTTAAGATTCTTCATATCCACTGCTGCAATATCCTCCGTTTCCAGTTATTGAATGGAACTCAGACCCTTTCCTTAGTATTAAAACAGTAAATCAACTGGTCTACTGTAACTCGCTTTATGTTGGGGTCAGTCAGGCTTCTCTTTCACGTCTCCAGCTCGTCCAAAACTCTGCAGCTCAGCTACTAACAGGAACTCACAGGTTTGAGCACATTTCTCCAGTTCTGTCCTCTCTTCACGCTTGTGTGTGTCAGAATTGATGTTAAAATTCTCCTACTGACATTTAAATGCATTAATGGTCTTGCACCCTCATACCCCTCCGACCTTCTTCATCCTGCTCCTTCTCGGGCTTTGAGATCGTGAGACCAGCTGTTTTTGGTTGTACCAAAAACCAGGTTGAAGCTCAGAGATCGAGTCTTTTCAGTCGTGGGCCCTAAACTCTGGAACAATCTGCCCATCAACATTCGACAAACCACTTCAGTCTCTGATTTTAAAACTCTCCTGAAAACTCATCTGTACTCTTTGACATTTAACACAGGGTGATACGATTTAGTTTTTCATTGATTCTGATAGAGTTTATGCTTTTTGTTTTTATTCCTAATTAACACACGGTCATCTGATCTGATTTACTATTTCATTCCTTCTATTTATAATGTTTTGTTTTTATTCCACAACATTTGACACAAGGTGATCTGATTTAGTATTTCATTGTTTCTAATTATGTTTTGTGTTTAATATTTTTATTCCATGTGCTGTAAATATATCTTGTTACTTTTTATTTGATGTTGTGATATTTTTTGTTAAGCACTTTGGTAACAGTTTCTGTTTTAAATGCTCTTTATAAATATGTGACTTGACTTGATATTAGTGAAATAATCCAAAGGAATATTAGTAAACCTGCTTCAATCTTTTTGGGGAACAACCTGTATTCTGATATATATATATATATATA